AATAATCAATTTATACATTTTTCCTCAATTGGATCAACCACAGTAATAATCTCCAGCAGAGGGAGTGCTAGTATTGTGTTCCATCTCTAAATGCAGCTACAATATGATATTGTATGATTATATCTCAAAGAAACCAAGATCCAATTTTGCTTCAACATCCAAGACTAACAAATATATGAAATGTTTGATGCAATCCATAGACTCATGACACATTCTGTATTCAAAATTATTTATTAATTTTGTACTTTATAAATCTTCACAATTTATAGGTACCATAAAAAAGAGGCATCAATAAAAAGACAGAACATTAAGATTCAGGAAGGTTACTGAAACGAATCTATTTAGGAAAAGCCACAAAACAAAGACTACTTCCTATTTTTTTAAAATCCTGCTGTACCCAAAGGCAGGTTTACAATGCTTCTAGAAGAAAACATGGAAAATAAAATGCACATGTACACATCAAAATAACTCCTAAAGTCTACTAAATACATACTCACTTGCAATCAGTTTTTTTTAACCCGGGCCATCACAAGCCAAGCCAAAATAGGAAGATGTAATGCTATGGGAAGGTGTTTTGATTTAGGCTATCCCTTATGGAAAGTGGCGCTGTTATACAGCAACCATATATGAAGCTGAGCATCTGTCCATCAAATCCACCGTTAAGTATTCTCACAGTGGCTCTCCAAAATCTCAGGCAGAGATCTTTCTCAGTTCCTCTACTAGAGATCTTTTTAATCTAAGATGCCAGAGACTGGGATCTTTCACTAGCCAGTAATATGCTCTGTCACTAGATTATTTCCTCTCCACTTTAGTGTCTCTGTCATTTGGATTACTTAAGCCATTAGCCATCTACCTGAAAGACTGCACTGTCTTTGTGTCTATAATCTCACATCAACATTTCAGTGTGTTTTAGACAAGCTGCACATATGCAGGTCTAATCAACTTGATTCTCCCCACCCCCAATGGTCATGGACACTACACATGCAGGTCCAATGATATTGCTGATGTGAGGTGCAGGAGTTAACTAGCACATTAACACAGCCCTGGAGCAAGCTGGGTCAGGTGGCCCTCTAGCAGGCCCATAGCCATGGGGGCATTGGGGCAATGCCCCCACAGATGAGCACCACCACCCCCGCAGACAAAAATTCAAGACAATTATAAAATATATTTTAAAAATGTAAGATGTGCATGGGGTTTCCAAAATGACCCCAGGCACAGTCAGGGAAGTTTCAGTCTTATTTTCTTCTTTCCAAGCCAAAAAATAAATAGGTTTTTAAAAATGCAAATAAAATAAAAGTAGCAACATGCAAAAGAGAGAGAGAGGGAGATTCCCCCCTCTCCCTGGCTTACACAGAAAAGCATCCCAGAATCAAGTCTCTCCGATCGTGGACTAGAGGAGGACTCGAGGTTGCAGCAGAGCTGGAGCTGCTTCTTCTGCTCTCTGCCAGGGCACCCCCCTGGATTTCCCCACACCCCAACCAACCAAAGTTTTCTGGCTATGCCCCTGTTCTCTAGGGCCTGTTCACTTTGGACATGGACCACTCAGTCCAGTTTGCTCCTGGCCATCAGCCTACCAGGAACTTTTCAAGTAAGTTAAAGGGCCAGTCTATCCATGACAAAGTAACCCTAGGAGTTGATCATGCATAGCCAGCGGCAATATGCACTCCCGCATCCCAAAACAGATTATACACTTTCAGCTATGCAAAGCATTATTTGTTATAAAAAATCCTGTTTTTACACATGAAAACTTCTAGAGCATAGAACAAAACCTGAATTGCAGCATTCACTCAAAACCAGAAAGCTCCTAAACAAAAGACACTTCCCATGTTGCTTCTTTCTACTCATATTGTCAAGGTGCTAGAATCTTTATTTATGACAAATGTACCCCATGAAACAATGTATCTTCACAGATGATCAAGAGCCTGAACAAAGTTCTCCCTTGTCCAATATTATCTGCTGGGGAAGAGCTGAAAGATGCAAAGCTTGTAATTCAGTTGATGTCCTTTTTGGTCACACAGACAGACCATATGATGGTTCACAAAACAAAGACATATACTGTCTAGCCTCTTCCATATATGCAACTTCAAGAATATGATGTTTAGGGGGGGAAGTAACATGGGAAGCAGTACAATGAAAAATGGCCTTAAACATTATACAAGGTGCGAACAGTATTGCTCTACAATCCTTTTGGTGCAACTTTCAGGGACTTGGCCCAGAAACACACTTCCATGATCCACTAGCTAAAGTCTGAAGACAAGAATATTCACAGGATTTTTTTAAAGTATTATTGTTCTGACTGTGAACACCCCACTGATAATTTCTTCAAAACATTTAAGTACTCCACTGTTCAGCTTTAAGGTGGTTCAGTTCACCAGTACCATAACAGAAATAACAGGACTGTGTGTGCTCTTAAGTGATGAACCTTCTTACAAATTCAGGTTTTAACTACAGTAAATTAGTCAAATCCAGAGTATCTTGAAACATCCATCTTGCTCCTTCATTTGCAAAGAAACAATAATACAGAAAAGAGGAGGAACAGTCCAAATCAGTGGTAACCATCCCTTTTTTGGGCGGGGGGGGGGTTAAGTGAGCCACAAAAGTTGGCCATCTAGTGCTGTTTAGTGCTCTCTGTAATATTATGCAGGGTTGTCTGCCTTCAAGATTTTTCCTCATAAGCCTTAGTTTGAATCTAGGCCATGATCCGGTCCTCTCCTCTCCAGGGCAGTCGCAGACCTTCACTGCTCCTGCTACTTGTTACACCTCTGGCATAGGCTGGGCAATGATGCTACAAACCACAGCACATGAGAGAGTTAAGCTACTCTACATCTCCAACTGAAGTAAACATTCACATTTCAATCTCAGTATAGGTGGATGAATACCTATGTAAGAAATCCAAGCTCTGCTTATTGAATCTCCCCCAGAAAGTAATCAGTACTCTCAACTTGCACCAGACATCACTTGTTAGGCTGGTGGGAAAGAGACACCTTGATTCCAGTGCACCATCAGTATTAAGCTGATGTGATCACCTTCCATTAGCCACTGTACACATAAATACAAGAACATTGCTAAGTAAAGAGACCTTTTTCTCCCATAGGCAGTCTTTTGAACTGGCATAAGCTGTGCCAAGAACCCTGTTTCCCTTTGCAAATTTCCTTCAAGTTTACCCGGTGATCACCTCTTGCTAATGGGGGAGACCAAGATGAACTCTGGAAGCTCAGTTCTCAAACGTTCTCATGAACTGAAGCAACCCTAAAGGAAATCATGTTACACAAACTACTTGTGTCTATACGCATATTGCAGCTCTACTATACATCACAATTGTGCAATTTTACAGAAAGATGAATGGTTTTTAATCCACTTGCATTGGTTCCATACACTTTAAAGAGTGTTAAACAGTACAGTGAGTGTGAATGTGTAAGAAATTTTAAATATACAACATTAAGACTTGTGTTTGCTTTGAAAATCACTGTCAAATGTGTAATTATTTTTCCTAAACAACATCAAACTAACATATAATATTTAACTGTAAACCAGGGAAGGTCATAAAAGCTGTGGGTTGGGATGTTTTTAGGTGTGCCCCAAAGCTTGGGAATGTTCAGTAGGATTTCTTCCCCCATACCCTCTTAAGGGCAGACTCTCAAGCTATGTCAAATGTGTTTTGAATGCCCCTTTATTTTCAAAGGAGGTTTGGCACTTGATTGTGGGGGAGGGTTGCTGTTCAAGAAACAACAAACCCAAAATTCCCTTCAGCATGTGAAACTAAGTTACATGGTTCTTTGAACCCAGGCCCAGGTAACGTGCTCCTGAACAGCCCTCTCAAATACAGAACACAATCACTTTTTCAATCGAAAAGTCAAAGGAACTTTATCAGAAAGATTATGTAAAAATGTTGACACATTTATCATTTAGATCATATATTCATGATATAAATTATACAGTTCCAGTAACATTGTTGTATAATAACAGCCTTACAGTGTAATTTGATAAATTCTGATCTTATCCATCACAAACTCTTAGATATATCATTACACTGACATTCATATGCATTAATACTCTTTATTCAGTTAGACAGAAGAAATAATTCTGTCTGCTGAAGCTATAATATTTTATGTTGCAGGAAGTCTTTGGTCTTTAAAAGGCCAAAAGCGGTTCTAACATTTGTATTCCTAGAGACCTTCCCAAGGAAGAAAATGCTGTCTTTCAAGACTGAAGTGCTTTCCTGCAGATTATTCCAAATCAACACCAGGTAAATTTTGGCAAGTCAAGTCCATCTTCAGAGGTCAAAAATAAAATTCAGATATGGCAGCCAGCTAGTATGCACACTCTTCTTCTGCAACCATTTCCATGCATCCTATATGTCCATGGTGCAAGAATTCCACAGATCTTTCTGGCCTGCCAGAAGTCAGGACATCTAATATTAGGAGGTGGGCGAGGAATTGCATGGCAGGATTAGACCTGGCTTTAACTGGAGTGGTACAAGTCACCATTTGCAGCACCACAGCTAAAACTGGTCTATATAGTAGTAGGACTACATAAATTCACTCCATGGAAAATTAGGGGAAACTGTTTAAGAGAAACAAGATACAATGATTAAAAAAATATATATAAGAAAGCTAAACAAGGAATGGAAAAAGAAATTCATGTGAGATATGGGTACCCCAAACCCAAGTAATCCTTACTGGCTTGTGGATCAGTCTCTGAAATGGCAGCCCTCAAAAGCAATCCTAGATTGCACCACAATAGGCTGTTCTGAAGACGATGCAAATTATATGAAAGTGTGGAATGTGACAACGGCCTGTCCAAAGTGACTTTTCGTTGAATCCTTCTAACCAATGGGCATCTGAAATAAGCTTAAGAAACATACAAAATATGTAATGCACTAAAAAAGTATAAAAATATGAACCTTTCACATTTCATAAGATGTGTCATAGCTCCTTTCTTATAGACATAAATGGAAGCCAATGCAGAATTTACCAACATAAATGAAAAGTTGAAAATATATGCCATAAATTTTACCAAGAATGTGAGGCCATGAGGAATTTTGTAGTCATGAGGAATTTTTCAATACAACATTTACAAATGTCACTTAAAGCATACTAACTCAGGAAGCTAAAAAGCCAAATAAGTACTGTATGGTAGGGTTGGGTGCACTGACACTTTCATATTATTTGAAAATACAAACAAAACCATAATATTATTTATATCACCAGTTTGTTTTTTACCACCAGATAATTGTGTGTTGTTGTTTTTTTTACAGGAACCCATAATTATTTTAGCAAGTATGGCCTTATTTTGGGTAGCAGTTCAAAGGGAGATATTCATGCAAAAGCAATCCCTGCCACACATTACCAGCAAACTAAAGTAAGAGAGAAATTCAGGAGTGGCCGTTTGTACACTGAAAAGACTTGTGGTCCACAGAAGGAAAACAAGAAAAAATAACCCAGTATACATACTGTTTGCATTGCAGCCATGGACTTCTTTAATTTAAACTTTTAAAAAAGGTATTATAAAAAGATCTGATTTTTTAAAAAAAAGGTTGCTGAAGGATTGTAATCCTAAAACTGTATACAAGATTGTAAATTCCCAATGAATTCCAGTAAGGATGACAGGATTGATTTTGAGGACTACTGCCTGAAAACTGAGAAGCTGGTGGCTTAACTCTTCTGCAGGATGGGGCAAATGGTGTGATGTCACCTCTATTCCATTCAATGAGCCCTCTTAATGTATAGAAAAGGCAAAAAAAAGTTTTAAAAAACTAAAGAAACCCAATCCCCTGTAAAATCACAGAAAAAAATGCTTAGCATCTACAGGAAGATAGATACATTTCCAGTGGACTAACCACTACCAGTGCTATTTCTCCTAACAGATCTTGTGGCTTCGTACTTTAGTTCATGCACTGGGATCAGAAATGTCCATGTTTGTTCCAAACAGAGCAACTAGCTGTTCTTCATAGTTCGCAATGTTCCTTTTCATGATTTCCATACAAGGTCCCAAAAGCCTTTCGAATGCTTGTACATCCATAACTTTTTAAAAAGAGATAGAAAGACAAAACAATATAAGTTAAAATTTGGGGTCAGAGAGAAGTCTGACATTGTGCTTAGCTCTTAGGTTCTGAAAGGATTATTGTAAGGAGTCATATCCAAGCTCTCATAATTAGAGAGTTCACAGAACTAGATTTTTCCCATCATCTCCTTCCCAGAGCAGCCCCCACCCCCTGCTGAAAAGCCAATGCTAAGGGGCTGTGGAATAATATGCCATATGCACACAGAGGTTGTCTGCAGCAAAAAAAGGGAACCCAGATATATATTGTCCAAAGTTTTCAAGACTAAATAGAAATACAGAGTCTGCTTTTAAAATACAAGCATTATCAACCCTTGTTTTTTCTAATATGTGACTTTGTATATTACTTTAAAAATTAAAGTACAAAATCTCTCATTGTTAATCTGGCTGTTTTACATTTCTTTCATTTTAGTTTTAATAATTTATCTTTCATTAGCATCATATGGTTTATTTAGCAGAAAACATACAATTGAATAAAAAGCATGTACTGAAAATGCTCAGATTACTTTTGTTGTCAGTCTACTGTTTGGAAAGCACATAATCTTTTGAAGTTTGTGATCAGTCAAAATATAAATTGTCAGAACAAACAGAAGAGCTTAAATATTTGTGGTCACTGAAAGCGTGTTCTCCAAGGTAGTATCGCTTCTCAATAATTGGTTGAAAAGAGTTGTGCACTGTTTTTATATTTACTTATAAGTTTTATACTCCACTTTTCCTCCCCAGCAATGGGACTCAAAGTGGCTAATGTGAAGGAATCAGCACAAAACCACTTTCCACGAATTCTTGAGAGATGCTGCACTACGTCTGGGGGTTCACCATATGGTCAATTAAGGCTACATTCATATTAGCACACACATGGGAGTAAGGCCCACTGAACCAAGTAGGACTTGCTGCTGAGTGTACATGTACAGGATTGCACTGCATACCATTGTTCTGATATCACCAAAAATCACACTGACGGATGCAGTAAGTTTTAACCTATAGATTTCACAGAATGCACAGATAGAATGAAATGTGATAGTATAAAAGCAACATACCACACAAAACATGTGGTACCAACAGAAACGGCATCACTCTTAACTAGTGAACAAAGCAAATACTGACATAAAATTTAGCATTACCTAAACATTTAACTGTGCCAAGTGCAAATGCTGAGGCAGCCCGAGGTTTGTTAGTTACAAGAGCAAGTTCACCAAAATACTGTCCTCTGGAGTACCGAGCAATTTCAACAGCTTCATTCTCATCTACATCCTGTTTACCCTGAAGTGTCAGGTAGGGAAGAAAGAAAACACATGGGGGCATTTACTGAATGGAGGTTTTACAGCCAAATGAATGTTCTGCACACTGCAATGAACAAAAGTGGTAATTAAAAATGAATACATCCTCTTTCTCATGTCAAAAAACATTCAAAAAGCCTCAAGTTTAAATCAAGACATTTCATACCTTTCTTTTCATTGTTATTCGTACTTCTCCAGATTCAACAATAAAGAAACAGTCGGCCATGTCTCCCTGTTTGTTTTTTTAAAAAGATGGATAATGTTATTTATCATTAACAAGAAAAAGCACAAACAAGTTAAAACAAAACTGCTGACTCAGAACATCCTTCTGGTGGCTTGCTCATGTATCTGTTTTGACAATCCATCTTCCTAACGCAAAAAGTAAAATACACAGAAATATATTAACAGTTGATCACTTCGGCTATTAATCCTGGTGATAAGCTTGTAACTTTCCACTGTGCTAACAAGCACAACATCTGTGCCAGGCTTCTGTGTTTACAAGGGAAGATATGCCAACTAGCATTGCCACAATCCTTCCCCTCCTTGCAGGGAGAGAGGTTTTGGCTTGGATTCTATTAGATGCATTCCACTTAACAGTTGTCACTTCCTCTGCCCCAAACTGCCAACAGCACAGATCCAGGGATCCAGCACTTATTATGAAAATGAGGCAAATCAATAACCAGGTACATATCCAAACTGTGGGTTTACCAGAAGACAGAATGGCTGAAGGCCTTCAGAAAATGTGGCCATGTGCTTAGTGTTGTTTTACCTATTACATCACAATTCCAAATTACAACAATATACTCATCTAGAAAGAAAACTGACGAGGACAGTTTGAGACTACCTCTTTCCTTTTCTCATAAACAAATGAGCAGCTCCCACATACTATATAATTAAAATTAGAGTAATTTGCAGTTTGCTAGGTCTGCTCCTATGCAATATTTTTGAATCTGTAACATGTAATTCAATTGTAATTTTCTTCAGTCAATCTTCAGATATCACTTTGGGAGGAAGAGGAAGCAGTTAGTATCTGGAAAGTGGGGGGGGGGAGAGGGGACCACAGCATGTTGCCAGGTCCTGAGCAGCCCAAACCTATTCTGGAAGATTCCTCTTCACAGAGTTCTCTTTGTTCTAACAGTAAAATCCTCCTTGGTGTTATAAAAATTAAACAGACACAGAATGAAAAGCAGAAGTATCTTCTGTACACATTTGCTTGCTAATCATTCTCAAGGAAGATGCCAAGAAAAAGACAGTTTACTTTGTCCATCCTGTTCAGAACAACGAAAAACGGCAACAGAGATGACACAGGGCAGCTGTTGCAGCTACAGACTAAGTACTTATAATTTCCATAACACTTAACGAGATATGCTAAAGCATATCTTTCCCTTTCCCCAAAAAATACCCAAGCGATTCTCTACTAAACAGTAGTTTGGGACCTGCAATTTATCAGAAATTAATTGTTCAAAGGCTGGCTGCTGAGTCATTGTTCTCACTAAACAGGAAGTAGTTTTTTGTTTCTCTGAGGGAGTGGCAATTAAAGAAAAAGGCACACTACTATAAAAGGCTAGAAGAGACAGCAAGAGATGAAGCAGGAGCTCTCTGTAAAACCAATGCTTAAATTTTAACACTGAGGCAGCCTCCATCTGGGGGAATATAATAAATAAAAGTTGGCATCATCTTTGTTTCCGGGTTTTGAAAAAAGTCTAAAAAAACTGTTGTTTGGTCCAGGTGGGCAACCATGTTGGTCTGAAGCAGGAGAACAAAGTTTGAGTCCACTGTGACCTTTAAGACCAACAAAGTTTTGGCGGCGCTGCGCGCGGGCGTCTTCTCGGAGCTCCGAGGACGCCCAACTCCCAGCGCTTCTTTGGGGCTCCCCCGAAACTTCGGGGCAGCTCTGCTCGGTCTCCTGGAGGGAGACTGAGTGCAGGAGGCTCGGCCGGCCCCCCCGTTTCCCCGGCAAGGACGGGGGCGAGTCCGGCTTGCCTTGAAGCAGAAGCGTCGGGCAGCACAGGAACGTGGGCGCCATGTTTCCTGCCAGCAGCAGCCAGCCGTGTTTTTAACATTTCTTTTTTGTGTGTGTTATGAAAGAATACTTTTCATGATTACCCAAAAGATTTTTGAAGTCTACAACTTAAAAACATGCTTAAAAGGGCTCTTTTTGTAGCAGGAACTCCTTTGCATGTTAGGTGACACACCCCTAATGTAGCCAATCCTCCAAGAGCTTACAGAGCTCTTCTTACAGGGGCTAGTGTAAGCTCTTGGAGGATTGGCTATATTAGGAGTGTGTCACCTAATATGCAAAGGAGTTCCCTGCTACAAAAAGAGCCCTTCAGCTCTGTAAGCTGCAAACCTACTTTTGATTTATTGACATTCACCACAGAAATCTCATGCTCCGAGTTCTGAAACTAGGACCCAGTTTAAAACATGAAATGGCTGCGTGATTAAGAGAGTCTGGTGAAGCAAGCTATGGTGCAGCAACAGAACTGGAAGCAGGAGATGGCCAGTTCCACTGCGGGCCTGATGGAAGCCCTCTGAGGGCCTAATCCGACCCTCGGGCCACATGTTTGACACCCCTGATTTAGTCCAACTGCTCACTATGTGCAGGAAATCCAAAGCTACAGCATTCCTCACAAATGGCTGTGCAGTCTCTGCTTGAGTAGCTCCAGTACTTGATTCCTTGTAGAACTGCTCTTGCTGTTAGGAAATTTGTCCTAACATTCAACCAAAATTAACATGCCTGTAACATAAGCCTATTAGATCAAGTCTTGCCCATTGGAGCAGCACAGAGAATGAGTCTTTGCCCTCTTCGATAAGACAGTCCTTCAGATAACTCAAAGAGGATGGTCAAGTGTCGTTTCAGTATTCTCCAGGATGCACATACCAAGTTCCTATTGTGCTCCTACTGATGACGGCTAAAATCATATTAGCATTATTTGCAAACACATCACCCTGCGAACTCCTATTCAGCTTGTGGTCAATCACAGTCCTGAATTCCTCTTTAGATAGCATCCATCCTATACCTGTGCATACGATTCTTTTTGTCTAAATGCGTAACTTTGCTGAATTTAATTTTGTTAATTTCAGCCCACCTTTCCAACCTATCAAGAGAAAGCAATCAAATTTACGGAATAATTTACAAATGTGAACAGCATACCTGAGCAATGATTTGTTCTCCATCTTTGTATACTTTGGTGTCTATCACATCCACCACTTTCAATCTTTCAGAAAACTTTAACGAAAAGGGAAGGCAGATTATGTTAATATACATAACCATCTGACATTTCACAATGAAAGCAGACACATTTGTGTGCTTATAACATCTCTGTCCTCATACCTGCAACACCCCTATCCTCACACCAAGTATTACTCCCTGAGGGTTTCTACTTGAGTTCTAAAACCATGGCTTTTCTGCTACTGCTGTACACAGTATTCATTTACTCAGGCCCGTAGCCAAGGGGGGCCCTTGGGGTGATGCCTCCCATGAATATGCCCTGCCTCCTCAGGAGGGGAGGAAGCCAGCGGGCTGAGCCTTGCCAGGTATTCCGGCTTCTGCAGCTGTCTTCTACACCTCTCTCTCCTTCCCCTCCTGCTAGCTCCCTCCTGAGGCTGCAGCAGGAAGGGAAAGGAGGTCAAGCTCACCTGCTACCCTGCCTGCCTCAGCCTGAGTGTGGCAAAGGCGCTGGCAAGGAGAAGCTGAAGCAAAGCCCAGAGGATGCCAAGGCCTGCTGTGAGCCTGATGTGTCACCTTCCAAGCACTAGCCCCCCATCCTGAACTCCAAGAGCCCCTACCCCACCCGGCGTGCTGGAAAAGGGCCAGTGCTCTCCTCTCCCAACCTCACAGGAAACACTAGGGACCTCACCCTGGCTGACAAGTGGCTGCAGGAATGTGCCTGAAGGGGAATGGGAGGAACTACCGAGCAGTAGACTTTGGGACCGAGCTCTTGCCACCTTCTTCTTCCTCCTCCCTGGGTGCCCGTGATAGGGGAGGTGAGGCGAGTGCCAGTAACCCTTTCCCCTTCTTTCCTTCACTCCCACCTTCCCCCTCCATTTCCCATGTGCCTGGCATGGAGCCTCTGCACCTCCTCCCATGAAGGAGGGAGAAAGATGACAGAGGGGACGGCAGGGCTCTGACTGCTATGACCAGCTGAGCCAGGGGGCAAGGAGCGGGCTGGGGCTAGCAGCGCTCCAACTTCAAGCAGCTGAGAAGGGCACCATCAGACGGCCCAGAGAAGGAGATCCCGGTGGGCAAGGCACCCCCCACCCACATGCCTACATCAGTTAAGGAAGTGACGTAGTCACATTGGGCATGGGCCCTCCAGTGCCCCCCCCCCCGAAAATTTTCTGGCTACGGGCCTGCATTTACTTATCAATAGCCCATCCTGCACCAGACTATCAACAACTGTTTCAGTAAATTGGCCACAGCTATATTTTTAAGTTTAACTGAATCTCACAATGGATTTAGCTATCATTCTAGAATACCTATACCTTAAATATATTCAGTAACATTTACAATCTGGATAAGCTTTTATGAGGGTGGAAAAGAAGCTGTGAACAAGCATTTTGTATTTAGATAACCAATAAAGAATTAACATGTATTTTAAAAGATACCTCCAATGACAAAAATAGTGATTCACAAGAGACATGAAAATTGTGACTGCACTGATAAAAAAGGACCATTGATGCATATGACTATGCCATTATTACTTGTAAATTTGTAAGGCATGAACAGTGTTATTCAGAACTTCAGATTTTGAAAACAATGCATGTTTATCGACCCCATTCCCACCCTCAAAAAGTTGAAGCTAAAAGGGAAAAAAACCAACGCTGGTTAAAATCACTAAGATAATAAAATAAGAAAGCTTACTTCTAAAGATTTAAGGAAGGGCAACGACTCAATAAAACTTTCGTACATTCTCCTCTTTTTGGCATTGTTTTTCACAATAATTCTCCGAAATGTGGCTCTGTCCTATAAGAAAAAGAAACGTTTATTTTGAAAAAAAGTAATGTATAAAATATGCAAAAGGTTAAAAATGATAATTTGCACAGTGATTTGCTATGTGGAATAACTGAGTATACTTTCTCATTTATGGGAAAGAATGCTAAATGGGATACAATACAACAATGTGATTTTTTTAGCTTATTATTTTAAGTATGAAGTTAGCAAATAGTTTAATTGAAAAAAAGTTTAATTGAAAAAAACCCAGATCCATTCCATATGGTCCTCCCTGGCCACAGAAATCAGATGCCCTTTTCTTCACAATGAAGTAACAGTAAAACTCCCAAGTTTCTTAATGCAACTGGAGCACACTAGTTTGCAGTTCATGTTAGGTCTCCATATAGGACATTTTATAAAGTCAGTTGCTCTGAGCTGCCTGGATAAGGCAGACTATGAACAACATAAACTTACCAAACCCCACACAGCACCAGAAGAGGTAGCAATGATTGTAGCTGCTCTGGATGTATTGTACATTAAAGCCAATTCACCAAAGCTCCCACGGTTATCATAGGTGCCAACACACCTTCCAACACCATCACATTTCACATAGATATCGTATGTCCCTCTGCAAAACAGGCAAAGATTATGTAAACTGACATTTAAAAGCTATAAAGTTAAAACTTCCTGACTTGGATGGCCCAGGCTAGATTGATCTCATCAGACCTCAGAAGCTAAGCAGGGTCAGCCCTAGTTAGACCACCAAGAAAGTCTAGAGTTGCTATGAAGAGGCAGACAATGGCAAGCCACCTCTGTTTGTCTCTTGCCTTGAAAACCCTATGGGGTCGCCATTAAGTCAGCTATGACTTGACAACACTTTCCATCATCACTAAGTTAACATGAAACAAAACTGACTTTCAACACCCTTTGATTTATATATTCCTTTATTTATTTTTGCAATCATCCTCAGATATTTCAGTTAAGGGGGTCTTTACCTTTTCCACTTTGCCATGTAGAACTGTGGCAGAGAAAATGCACAGTGCCATCTACAAAGTTGCCACAGGAAAGCAGAGATGTGAATTCCATGTCAAGAGATCAAGCAAACTCAAAAAACATAGCCTTTTTCAACCCCCATCTCGCCTGCACCATAACAAGAGTATATAAATAACTTACCGATCTATTACATAGAAGTTGTCACCATCATCACCTTGATCAATAACATGCTCCCCTCTTTCAACCAGCTTCTCAAACATGGCATCTAACACCTGAGACACCTGTTCCTGTTAATAGAGAATAGAGAGAGTTCCTTGCTTTTAAAGGTCATGTCTCTATGAGATTTAACTCTTCAAGCCAACTAAAAAGTACATCCATTCTCCTAGCTAGATTCTAAAATTGGTGAGCAGCAAAGCAAACCAAGTTGTTGAGCAAATTTAACAAAAATAAGCAGAGGACCCATAAAACTCCCGGGGGAAGAATGGCTACTACCACCATCACCACCCTTCCTCCACGTGCACCCCCATTTGCTCCAGGTGAGAATTTCAATGAAAACTAAGGAAAATTCAAAAAAGAAAGTTAGGAAATTAGCAACACAGGTTGAAAAGGTAGTCTATTTCTATTTCAGTTCAAACTTTAAATTCTACAAATGTTCAGACCAATTATCTGACTTAACCTTTTAATTTTTATATTGTTAATTCTAAATACTGAACTAAACATGACCAATGAATAATTAAATATGAAGAATGTCGGGGATACCAAGGCAGCTAACAACATATATAATACAATCACATCATAAAAGCCATTAAAACCAATAAAAACACATCATTAAAACCAGAACAAATCCTCAATCCTATGCCTTCTCCACCACCACCTAGTTATTCTTCCCATAGTTCACAAATAAATCACCTCCTTCAAACATCCAGATTCTCAGCCAGGATCCTTAACAGCTCAGTATCTGTGCTTTATTTCCATTTCATGCCAGCACCAAAGAGCTCCTCCTGTCCTTAAGCTGTGTATTTTTCCCCTGTGCATATTCCTTATTGGCTTCTCCTTCCAGTATCCTTTCATCTCTACCTGTTCCTCAGCATCCCCGTCCCCCCCAATCTCTTCCACTTGCATCCAGTTCTTGTATCTTATGTATCTTAAAAATCCACAGCTGACCCTGCCCTCTAGCTCTGGCCACCCAAGTTGCTAAAGCTTCTTTAACTCCAAAGATCCCTCCCCTACCCAGTCATTATTCAGCTCAGTCAATATACTGCCAGAGGCTTCATTATTCCTGCTAATGCCATAAAATTCTTTAGCACATCATAGTATAAATGCTGCTGTGTTCCCATATTATGCAAATAAGTGCACAGTGAAGCAAAATGGTTGACTAATTCAGAAATCAACATTTGCATGCTTTCTAAGAAGGATCTTATACAAAGCAGCAACTGTTCGTTTGTTTTGGACCTCAAAGTGAAAGTATTTCAGGGTTTTGTAATTATTTATGAGGAATTCAGCCTTCACACAAATTTATTTCAATACTACATAAAAACAATTGTACACACAGACACAATTTGAAATCACAAGCCATACACAACTTTCCAAGAAAGAAGATATTGTATGGTAGTGGTTAAGTGCGCGGACTCTAATCTGGGAGACCCGGGTTTGATTCCCCACTCCTCCACTTGCACCTGGCTGGATGACCTTGGGCAAGCCGTACTTCTGATAAGAGCTGCTCTTGAAAAAAGAGCAGTTTCTGTCAAGAGCTCTCTCAGCCCCACCTACCTCACAGGGTGTCTGTTGTGGGGAGGGGAAGGGAAAGGAGTTTGTAAGCTGCTCTGAGACACCTTCAGGTAGTAAAGGGCAGGGTATAAATCCAATCTCTTCTTCTTCTCTTCGAGAAGAATGTTGCTGTAAAATATATCTGCTCTGAAACTACAGGTGTTTGGGATTGACCTCCAAAGTTGAATAGTCATAAGAATGCTATAGGACTATAGTTAGTAACAGAGAAAATGTTACCAGTAAGTCAGGCAATGGGGACCTGCGGCTGACGCAGAACTAGGAGCTATGTACAAGTTGCACACTAGGAGAAAACACTCCTCCCCCGACTTGAGTGGTAACTGGACATTCCCTTCTGCAAGGGAAAAGAGAAGTTTGTAAGTGGACTTCAAAGCCTTAGCATCCATCCTGGACCAGTAAAAGCAGACCTGGATTTGGAAAAGGATGGTTCAATCATCTTGGCTGCTGCTGAAAGAATTTGGAACCATGGGAAAGTCACCTCCCTGGGAGGATACAGCTGTGCTTCTCTCTGTTCTCTCCCATACCCTCAAACATCTCTAGTAGCTGTTCATCAAGAATTGGTCACAGATGCCTATATTGTTATTCCAGATTCAAAGAAAGCCCAAGGAAATGATATGAGAGAGCAAGGTTTGCTTTCATGGAGATTTTTATTAAAGCATCAAACTTACAGAAAATGCATGCTGAGCTCCCATCAGCTGGGCCTTCAGTACACACACAGTAACGCTTGCAAGAATCCAGAACCACATGCATAGCTAAAACTAGGCATCTTTTGTTGTAGTGGTTAAGTGTGCAGACTGTAATCTGGGAGAACCAGGTTTCATTCCCCACTCCTCCACTTGCAGCTGCTGGATGACTTTGGGCAACCCATAGTTCTGTCAGAGCTGTCCTTGAAAGGGCAGTTCTCAAAAGAGCTCTCTCAGCCCCACCCATCTCACAGGGTGTCTGTTGTGGGGAGAGGAAGGGAAAGGAGATTATAAACTGCTCTGAGACTCCTTCAGGTAGTGAAGGGTGGGGCATAAATCCAATCTCTTCTTCTTCTTCTAAATGCTGGCTACCAGTCAAATTAATTAACTTAATTAATTAACTTAATTAACTTAATTAAGCTATCCCAGACACATGGATCAGCCAGGCCATCTTGCACCTGGCATCCAGTGGTGGGAAGAAACAACCCAGGCTTTGAAAAAATGGGCTGCTAACAAGCATGAGAGAGAGGAAAGTTCTCTTGGGAGTGGCCAAACACCGTTTTCTCACAAACCACAGGACAACTAAGCACTAGCATGTAACAAAGATGGGAGTAACGCAGGCCATACAACTGTATGAAACTAGGACCTTGCAGAAGATGGATTGGTGAATGGATGTCAACCAAATGGTTATACTTATGTTCTAAAATCATAACTGAACCATGCCTTCATTAACTCATTAGTACCTTTTGTTCACTGGATGTCCACCTGACAAATTGATTCCAACACCCATTGTAAATGGACAATTCAAGCAGGACCTACAACATGTCAACTGTGCTGTCAGAGTATCAGACTGTTTATCTCTCCTTGCATTGTGTGTCCTACAGCCTTTAAATTAATACTCCACAGTCCCAACCCAGCTGTGCATATAGGCAGCAGCTGTTGAGAATAGCAGTAATCACACTCAGCTGCTCAGCAAAGATGGGAAAGACCGAATCCAGTTCCTCTTGGTCCTATTTCTGAACAGCTGATAACCACAATTGCTATTTTAACAAAAGCTCTGTGTTTGCACATAAAGAGTTCTTCATCTAACTACGGATAAGTGTGTGCAAGTTTGCTTTCATGCACAAAGCTTGAATATAACAAACGTGATGGGAGTGTTAAAAACAGATGCAAATGAGGGTTGAATTCAGAAATTATATTAACTAAGATAGATGTAAATGCACAAACAAATAAGCAACATCACTGTTCAGCTAAAATTTGTTACGTTCAAGTAAAGTTCATATGAACACATAATCATATATAAAGCCTATTTTAAATGATCTGAAAACAAAATATAACAAGTCTTTAGTTGTAGATCTTCCGGGCTGTATGGCCGTGGTCTTCACATTGTAGTACCTGACGTTTCGCCAGCAGCTGTGACTGGCATCCTTAGAGGTATAACACAGAAAGATGGAGTACTCTCTGTGTCAATGTGAGAAGAAAAATACAACAGATGCTATGATTGTCAAAAGACAGAAGAGACCCCCTCACGTCTGTAGGAGTATACCGCATACCCTGCATTTGTGAACGAGTTTGCGTCTGGACCACACAGCGTAGCATCCAGACAAGAATAAAAGAACATGAAAGACACTGCAGACAGGGCCAACCTGAAAGATCAGCAGTGGCTGACCATAGCCTAACTAAAACAGGACACAGTATCTTATTGCAAGACACTGAAATGCTGGACAATACATCCTATTACCATGTCAGATTACACAGGGAAGCCATTGAAATTCATAAACATAAACACAATTTCAACAGGAAATAAGAGAGTTTAAAAATAAATAAGGCATGGTTTCCAGTCCTGAAAAACACAAAATGCTCTACATCTCACAATAGTACTACAGATAAGATTAGAATTTCAGCAGCCAATCCATATTCAAAAGAACCTCCTCAGGGAAGCGCCTCCATTAGATGTCACAGCCTGGAAAACTCTTATAAGATACTCAGACCTACTCCACCTTCCTGAGTAGATATAAATTACCTGCCTACCATTTTTATTCTCACATCTTTCTGTGTTATACCTCTGAGGTTATATCTCTGAGGATGCCAGTCACAGCTGCTTACAGAACGTCAGGTACTACAATGCCAAGACCATGGCCATACAGCCTGGAAAATTTACAACAACTAATGAACTCCGGCCGTGAAAGCCTTCGACAACACATATAACAAGTCTGTTTATACAATATTGATATTTTTGATACAGACAACACAGTCCCTGCTATCCATACTGAGGCAAGTCTTCCATAATACCTTTTGGTTAAAGAAACAAAACTGCACTGTGGCCCCAAATAGCAGAATTTCTCTGGGAGAGAATTTTTTCATTAGTGCTTGCTTTCATTTCTACTGCCTGGCACACATGCACAAACACACAATCTTACCGGATCTAGGTTCTTAAATAGAAGGATGTCTTTGCAGGCTTCTTGAAGTCTGTTTCTTTGATCATCTGTTTTGGGGTGAATAATCTAGAAGAAATGATTGTTATTTTGTTTTCTTTTTAAAAGGCAGTCTTAAAAATAATTACAAAAGGTCATGCCCATAGGACAGCCTCAATTAACATTGCTGAGAAGTTATATCACACTTACAGTCAAATTGGCATACCTGCAGCAGTTTTTTAAAACAAAAATAATCTCACCTCTGTTTGGTGATATTATCCACATATTAAATTACAGAAATAACCAACGGTATTACATTGCCATTGCGTTTAAAGAAACCACATTCTGTGTAAGTCTTTTCCCAGAACTTCATATTCAAACATTGTAAATGAGGATAACCAGGTTCCCATTTTATTATTCAATGAGTTAGCTCCGCTCCACATTCCATTCTACCCACCTGGAAAATGCCTAGTACAGGGGTGGCCAAACTTGCTTAACGCAACAGCCATACAGAATAAACATCAGAAGTTTGAGAACCGCAAGACATGAACAAATATTACACACACATTTTTATTGAAAAATATGCAAATTTGCTTTTTATTAACATCAAATTAGACTGTGTGAAAGAGCTGCATGCAGCTCCTGAACTGCAGTTTGGCCACCCCTGGCCTAGTAGCAACTTTGAATTGACGTATGCATCATTTCTCACAGCCTTTAGTTATTTCATTCCTTGCAAGGTATCAATGAGAAATATACCTTGATTAGAACACTTTGCAGAACAAGGACTCTTGGTGGAAGATCTCTTATTGAAGCATTCCAGTCAATGTGCGAATCTGAACTAAAAATTACACCACACTGTGCACAGTGGCCATCAAAAATGGAAGAATGGCAGATTGCAAGAGCATATGAGCCACTGTGAATATAAGATCAGCCCAACACTGACTCGAGCTCCTAAAGGCAAGGCTATCTGATCTTCACTGGACCTACTAAATTTTCATAAAGGTTTAGTAAAAGCAAACTAATAATGATTAGTTTCCCTTGTAAGAAAAAGAAGAAATGAGACTCCAAGTGTATTTGGGGGAGGGGGTTGATTCAGATCAGTAAAGTGGTATGATGGAGGGGAAGTAGGGTAAATCCCTCTTCCAGTCCCTCCCAGTAATATTCAGGTCCCTATGGCTGCTTAGAACAAGAGCAAAGGACAGCACAGGAGACCCTGATCAGTAATCTCTTGTAGCTTACCTAGTTAAGATGATTTTCTCTCCATCTTCCAGGAAACTTCCCATAATATTTTGAAATGTTTATTTTTTTATTTATTAAATTTGCATCCCACCCTCCCTGCACAGCTCAGGGCGACTTACAGAACGTGTGTGTGTGTGTGTGTGTGTGTGTGTGTGTGTGTGTGTATGGAAGATATGATTAAAACACAAAATTTAAATAAAACACACAGCATAAAATCATAGGTGCTAGTAACATAAACGCTGGTAAACGGTAATGGCGTTCTCTTGGCATCCAAATCTTCAGCTGCCACATAGACTGAGTTCTTGCCAGGCTGTTAGTTATTAGGTTCATGCTAATGTTAGGGCCAGGGCCACAATATTGGGAGGCGGCACCCTAGTCCAAATCCTGGTGGAAGAGCTCCGTTTTACAGGCCCTGCGGAACTCTAAAGGGTCTCGCAGGGCCCTGATGTCATCCAGGAGCTCGTTCCACCAGCAAGGGGCCGCCACAGAAAAGGTCCTGGCCCTCATCATAGCCAGCCTGGCTTCTTTAGGGCCTGGGAGGGCCAGACGATTATGGGATCCCAATCTTAGAGCTCTCTGGGGAACATATGGGGAAAGGCGATCCCTTAGGTAGATCGGTCCCTGACCATATAGGACTTTAAAGGTAGGAACCAGCACCTTCAACCGAATCCGGTATGCTACAGGCAGGCAGTGCAGTGCTTTTAGGGCAGGCTGGATGTGCTCCCATATAGGAAAACACAACAACAACCTCGCTGACGCATTCTGCACCAGCTGCAGCTTTCAGATTTGGGACAGGGGCAACCCCATGTAGAGAGCATTGCAGTAATCCAATATCAAGGTGACCATTGTGTGGATCACTGTCGCCAGGTCGTTGCGTTCAAGGAAGGTTTAACGGATGCCTCCTTAACGATGCCTCCTTAACGATGAAGGACCAGGTAGCAGCCACTGCGAAGTCTGCCTTTTAATCAGCCACAGATGGTAAAAGCCAGACTTCGCAGTGGCTGCTACCTGGTCCTTCATCGTTAAGGAGGCATCCAGGAGCATTCCCAAGCTCCTAACCTCTGGCGCTGGCACCAAAGGCGCCCCATTGAAGATCAGGAGTGTGATCCCTAACCTTGGTCCGCCCCGGCTCAAGCACAGGACCTCCGTCTTCATCGGATTCAATTTCAGTCGACTCAGTCTAAGCCAACCAGCCACAGCTTTCAATGCCAGGCCCAGATCTCCCGGACTAGAGTCTGACTGGCCGTCCAACAACAGATAGAGCTGGGTGTCGTCCGCACATTGATGACAACCCAGCCCTTGACTCCGGGCAATCTGGGTAAGGGGGTGCATATAGATGTTAAATAACACTGGGGAAATGCCTTCCGGATAGCTGTTCCCCAATGGCCACCCTTTGTCCCCGACCCTGAAGGAATGAGGAAAGCCATTCCAAGACAGACCCCTGAATCCCGGTGTCAGAGAGGTGGTGGATTAGTAGTTGATGGTCGATCATGTTGAACGCTGCTGACAGGTCTAACAACAACACTGCCATACTGCCTCGATCCAGATGCCTCCGGAGGTCATCTGTGTGGGTGACCAGGACCGTCTCTGTCCCGTGGCCTGGTCAGAAACCGGACTGGAAGGGATCTAATACAGAGGTGTCATCCAAAAAACCCTGCAGCTGAGTCGCCACCACCCTCTCGATCAATTCGCCCAGGTAGGGCAGATTTGATACCGGCCGGTAGTTGACTAATTCGGCCGGATCCAGGGATGGTTTTTTTAGGAGAGGACAGACCACTGCCTCCTTTAGTGCACTAGGGACAGTCCCTCTACTAGGGACTTGTTGATGATCTCCCATAGTGCACCTTGTAACCCATCATGGCCAGCTTTAATTAGCCATGATGGGCATGGGTCGAGGCTACAAGTGGTTGGGCGAGCAGATGAGAGTAATTTGTCAACCTCCTCTAGGCTGAGTGGACTGAAACAATCCAGAAGGGGTGTTGAAAGACCTAAGTCAGATTGAGGTGATGAGAGAGGAGGTCCTACAACTGATAGACAAAAATTAATAAATCACCAGGCCCGGATGGCATGCATCCAAGAGTTCTGAAAGAACTCAAATGTAAACTTGTGGATCTCCTGACAAAAATCTGTAATCTTTCATTAAAATCTGCCTCCATTCCTGAAACTGGAAGGTAGCTAATATCAGTCCCATCTTTAAAAGGGGTTACAGAGGAGATCCAGGAAATTACAGGCCAGTCAGTCTGACGTCGATACCGGGTAAATTGGTGGAAACTGTTATTAAGGAAAGAATTAGTAGGCACATTGATGAACAAAAACTATTGAGGCAGACTCAGCATGGGTTCTTTAAGGGAAGATCTTGTCTCACTAACCTGTTAGTGCTTTTTGAGAGAGTGAACAAACATGTGGACAAGGGGGACCCAATAGATATAGCTTACCTTGACTTCCAGAAAGCTTTTGATAAATTTCCTCATCAAAAGCTCAATAGTCATGGGATAAAAGGACAAGTCCTCTTGTGGATCAAAAACTGGCTAATTAATAGGAAACAGAGAGTATAAATGGGAAATTTTCTCAGTGGAGGGTGGTAAGCAGTGGGGTACCACAGGGATCAGTACTCAGTCCAATGCCTTTTAACTTGTTCATTAATGATTTGGAGTAAGCACTGAAGTGGCTAAATTTGCAAATTAAATGAAGTTGTTCAGGGTGGTGAGAACCAGAGAGGATTGTGAGGCACTCCAAAGGGATCTGTCAAGGATGGGCGAGTGGGCGTCAATGTGGCAAATGGGGTTCAGTGTGGCCAAGTGCAAAGTGATGCACATTGGAGCCAAAAATCCTAAATATAAATACACATCGATGGGGTCCAAACTTGCAGAGACTGACTAAGATAGCGATCTTGGAGTCATAGTGGATAACTCACTGAAAATGTTGAGACAGTGTGCAATAAAATTATAGCATTGGAAAAAGTGCAGAGAAGGGCAACTAGAATAAAAGGGTTGGAACACTTTCCCTATGAAGAAAGGTTAAAACGCTTGGGGCTCTTTAGCTTGGAGAAATGACAGCTGAGGGGTGACATGATCAAGGTTTATAAGATTATGCATGGGATAGAGCAGGTAGAGAAAGAAGTACCTTTCTCCCTTCCTCACAATACAAGAACTCGTGGGCACTCAATTAAATTGCTGAACAGTCGGGTTAGAACAGATAAAAGGAAGTACTTCACCCAAAGAGTGATTAACACATGGAATTCACTGCCACAGTGACTGCCATCTCATAGCATCTCATAAACGTCCTATAGGATGCTCTTGTTGCTTCACCCCGAGCGCATCGCCACTGTCTCTCCAGCCGTCTAAGCTCCCACTTCATCGATCTCAGCTCCTGTGTATACCATGGAGCGAGTTTAGGGCGGGGGTGCCGACGATGTCGGGGAGCGATCTCATCGATGGCTGCCGAGATTCAGTTTTGCCAGTCCTCGACAAGCTCATCCAATGAGCCGCCAGGGGGCATCGGATCCCACAGGGCCATTTGGAACCACATAGGGTCCATTTGGTTCCACAGGCGAGCTAAAATACGCTCGCCGCCCAAACAGGGTCAAGGCGCCATGTTCACACGGGCCTTCAGGGCATGGTGGTCCGACCATGGAACTGCCATGGCAATAATTCAGTACACTGTAACCCCCGCCACAACAATCAAATTGAGCATGTGCCTTGCTCGATTAGTGGGACACCAGGTCCATTGCCTGCGTGGAGGTCGCATCGTTGGCATGGACATTGAAGTCACCCAGGACTATCAGTCTAGGATGCTCCAGTGCCCAGCCTGATAACGGCCTCTAGCAGGGATGGCAGACTATTTGCTGGTGCATTGGGCGGATGGTACACGAGCCAAACAGCCAAACTCTCCCCGGCTTCCCACACAAAGCCAGCACACTCTATGCCGGTGAGCTTCATCGGCGGGAGTACTCTGAAGGTGTGATCCTCCCGAATGAACAAAGCCACTCCTGCCCCCCGCCCCTTAGTCTGGGATTGCTGAAGGAGAACCCAGGAGCAATGCTCCCTCTAAGCTGTGGAGTCTTGTGAGCAAAATTTCTACTTTGTGAGCTACTGGCATTAAAGTTGTGAGCAAGCGATTTGGCTGCTGCATTAATTAGTTTGCTCTGGAGCCATCCTTCCCGAGCTGAGACAAAAATGTGTGAACCAGAAGCTAAAAAACTGTGAGCTAGCTCACGCTAGCTCAGTTTAGAGGAAACACATGTCCAGGAGGGCCTAACTGGGAGAGAGTTACGGTCTCCCCATCTTGCACCCAGGTCTTGGTCACACATGCCAGATCCGTGTCCTGTTCTGACAGAAAGTAATGAAGGACCGTGGTCTTATTATTTATGGACCTGGCATTGCACAACACCAATGGCGGAGAGGGGTCAATAATTCTAGCTCTACTACGTACTACCTTCAGGATGTGACGCAGGCTCAAAGGGGACCGAGCCCGTCTACGTTCCCTTCCTTTCCATTTTTGCCTGGTCCCACCGCAATACTTTCCCCTCCCCAGGAGCACTGGTATCCCTTGGCTGGCCATTGCCCATTAATGGTCTTCGCTGACTAGCCTCAGACTATTAGCAGGCTGGTTCCCGACTGAATGTTGTCTTTGATAGTACCAATCAGCAAATCTTTTTTGAAGATGAATAAATTTTATCACTTTCCCTTAAAATATCAGCTTTCCTCGAGATTTTGAAGAAAAATGATATACTACCAATAAAACATCTGCTTTTGCTATTAAAAGGACATTCAATATGAGTTATGAAAGAAAAATCTTTTTAAACAGTTTATAATATATGCATAATGTACCCTTATTTTTTAAAAATCTGTCTCCTGAGACTAGAAAAGCACAACATACCCTTGTTTCAGTGTCATCTTCCTCTTCATCAGGATTATAAGCTTCTGCACAAACTAAAAAGAAAAGAAAAGAATCGGTTGTCAAACAGCAATAGGCTGCTAATTATTCCAATATGTTTCTAAAAATGTTTGTAAACAGAAAACCATGTCACACAATACAAAATTAACCCAATTTAACCTGAACCTACTTTCCTTAAATGTAACCCTGGGATTGTGCTGAGGCCACTGCCTGATCAGACTGAGGTTCTATTTGCCCACAACGTTGGCTCCACATCAACCAAATAATTCCTGTACATGCTGGGATACCAGCAAAGGAATCTTTAAACCCCTCTCCCGAGGAAGAGAGACTATGGCAGACTTTCCTTTAGGCACCTCAATACCATTTCTCTGTACATTGTGTTTTCATACAAATGAGGGAACAAAGAACATAATAAAGAGTGTGTTCTGCCAGTGTGATGCAATGATTAGAGTTACAGACTAGGATCTGGGAAACCCGAGTTCAGGTCCCCATTCTACCACAGAAGCTTGCTGTATGTCCATGGGTCAGTCACACAGTATCAACCCTCACAAGGTTGCTGTGAGGATTAAATGAAGGCGAGAAGGATAGAAGTTGCACTGGGTTCCCCACTGGGGAGACAGGCAAGGTATAAATGAAGAAACAAAGCCTTTTGCTCACATGGTATTCATAGTGCTTTTACAATTTCAGCACACGTAAAGGTAAAGAGGTACATCTATACAAGTTCTCACAAATTGTGCCTTTATATGAGTACTGCTGGGATACATCACACAATTAGCCTTGTGGCAGTCCCAACATGCTCACCCAGAGACTCAGATTTGTATACATGTTGTTTGGGGGTCCTTATCCCACACATCCTTCTTGCAACAGAATTTTGATTCATTCACCTATTAAATCTCAAAACGATGAAGCGATGCTCCCTATAAACTACAGCAGTTTGAAAACGTGGCCGAATTATACATCAGCTTCATACCTCTCGAATATCATTTATGAGAGATATAGATGGACCTTTTTGAGAGCACGCTTCGATGCATTTCCTTCCACAGTGTTATTTGGCAGATTTTCTCAATTGCCACTGCAGAAGGGATATTGTCCCTGTTCTAGAAAAGTGACTGAATCTGTTACACATATTCTTCTGCATTGTGAATTTTATCAAGAAAAAAGATTGCAATTAATTATTCCACTCCTCTCTAAATTCATTATGTACACCTAAAACTGAACAAGATATTACAAATTATGTTTTTAAACAGGAGCAGAATTACACCTCCATATCTTCCCTGTAAATGCTCCACACTGACTTCTCAGTCACAGAACTAAATAAGCAAGTCAGAACTGAAGAAAATAAGGCCTTGACCTGCAATGTCAAGTCACTTCGAAAGCTCTTATTGTTACAGTAGTCTGGTAGCCCACTGTGGAATCTTCTGTCTGGATGCTAAAAGCATCAGAAGTCATTACAGCCATTAACACAAGTGGTGCTTAAATTGATTCCCCCTCCCTCAGCATCTGTAATAAAAATTTAAAACCTCCCAAAGTAGTCCATGATCCATCAGCAGATCTCTGATCACTTTCTGCTGGAACAGCTAGCAACTTCTGGTTTCTAAGATCCCTGCAAAGTACTGGCTCATGCTGCCCTGGATGGCGCCATGCATACACTGTTATTTGCTTCGGTTTGGCTGGGTGGAAAGATGCTTTGCTAAATAAATAACAGCTGTATATAAACAGCTCCTGACCCCCTCCGTGGTTCTGCTTTCCTTTTTAGAGATAGAAAGACTCACAGTAAACAGAGTCTGTATTAGGGGTGTGCATTTGGATCTACCCAAGCTGAAATTGCACCTGAAAAATACCTATATTTCAGCTTCCCAAATGTATTCAGGTTTTCTTGGGAAAACTGGAAAAAATCCTGAGAAAATCCCAGATATATTCAGGAATTACTGGTTGATTCAAAAACAGCAGAGAGGAGGGAGCAATGTTTGTCGGGTTTCAGCTGTTTGTCAGGTTTCTACTACAGTTCCTTTACAGTTTAAAGGGGACTGCAGAAGACAGCCCAAGGATCAGCTGTTCCCGCCAGCTTGGTTTGGGGCTGGCTTCTCATGTAGCCCGGTTTAAACTGGGCTGCACAAGAAGCCAGGCCCAGAAGCTGCTGTGCCGCAGGGAGCAATCTGCTAGCCATGGATCTTGGGAAAACCGAAAAAAATCCTGAGAAAATCCCAGATATATTCAGGAATTACTGGTAGATCCAAGCCATGGGGAGAGACTTCCCCACAGCATGCAGATCCTGGGGCCAGCTTCATACTGGTTCAATTTTAGCAAATTCACAGGAAATGCCCAAAGGCTGCAATTTCCTCTCCACAGTGGGCAATTCTGCATCTAACATTCACTTCACATTTTCTCAACTGGGAGGGAAAAGTGCAGCTCAAAACCACATTCAAATACCTCGGAGCAATGCCATACTGACTGCAAAGTCACCCCTGAAAAGCCAGAAAGCTATGCAGAAGGTACCATAAAATCCGATTATCAAAGAAAGTCAAAGTGACATGCAGTCTGGAGGGTACCATAAAATCTGATGATCGAAGGAAGTGAAAACAGCATGGAATGCAGAGGGGAATTTCTGTTCCAACATGGGTTTCGCAAAACAACAGAGGGAAAAGCCAACGCAGAATCAGTCAGTGGTAGAGAGAGAACTAAGGGAAGGGTGCTCTGCCACCACCCCCTATAGATGGAAAGCCTGAACACCAGGTCGTGACGTCACAGCAATGGCGACCAGGGTAGTCATAACATTCCCTGTGTGGCTAACTCGAGCAGGAGAAGACGACGTTGGTCTCTTTCTCCCGGGCTGGTTTTCTCTTTGCAAAAACGAGGGAGGCTTTCTGGAGTTGGTTTGGGGGTTTGGGGGGGGGTTGTTTTGTTTTTTTGCACAGTGGTCGTCTTTATTTTCTCGGAAGGAAGAGGATTCGTCTTGCTTGTTTTTGGAGAACTCTGGACGTGGTGGGTGATTCCCCGAAGCTTCCCTTTCCCCTCCCTCCCCCCTCCCCCCGTCTTTGCAAAAGAGAGACGCTTGCAAAAATCAGGGTTCCCCCCCCCCTCATTTTGGAATGGAATACCGAGAGATTGGAGGGAGGGGGAGGCTCGAAAAAGTTAATCTGACCTGAGTGGGATGGGAAGGGGGGGTAAGGCAGCCGATCAGAAGGACTCAGTTGGGGGGGTCTTGGTGCTATAGCAGTCATTTGCAACTGGATATTCCTGTGTAAACAAATCTAACCCAATTGCGAATGATTGCTATAGTACAATAGCCAGAGATGTGTGGATACACACTTGGTTTTCTGTTATCTTTGGCATATGGACCTCTTCCTTAATCAATAGTCTTGGTAGGCTGCTGGCCCAGCCTTTTACCGTTGGTTCAGGGACATGTTGTAAAGGCTTATGTGCCCTGCCAATCAGAAAAGAGAAGGTTATTATTCTCTCCCCCCATGAGGCTGGCATTTCAGAGGGTCACAATGAGAGACTGAATTCCACTCTACATTCATCATCGGATCTGGCAGGAATGTTGGTGCCCATGGAAATTGTGCACAAACCTGGCAACTTAATAAAGATGGATCATGGGGGAATGCTTTAAGTCAACAAGCGAAGGGTTTGTTTTAATGTCCTGGCTAATGCCAGAGGTTTTTTTGGCCTTTTCTATCTCCTTGAAAGTGGCTGGCTTTTGCAGTGACAGTGATGGACTTGTTCCAGGTGGGCAACCATGTTGGTCTGAAGCAATAGAACAAAGTTAGAGTCCAGCGGCACCTTTAAGACCAACACAGTTTTATTCAAGGTATGAGCTTTTGTGTGCACGCACACTTCCTCAGAGACATTGAAATGGAAGTTAACTGTTCACACACACACACACACACACACACACACACACACACACACACACATGCCTCTACATAGGTGAACAGCAAATTAGCATATAACAATGTCTATATATATGAACTATCAATTTCCATTTCAGTGTATCTGAGGAAGTGTATGTGCAAATGAAAACTCGTGCCTTGAATAGAACTTTGTTCTAGTGGTGGGTTTGTTTCCTCTTCCTGCATAGCAGGCAAGTTGCTTCCATCTGTGATGAAGGAGAATCAGAAGAAGAGCCTCAGGCTTCCTCTGATCATTCCCCATCTTTTCTGTGGCAGTTGCCAGGAATAGACTCAAAGCAACTGGTTGACAATATACAATGAGCACAATTAGCCAACAGTGTGCACAGCATGCATGTGAAGGGATAGGTTTATGGGAGGGGCTGTGGCTTAGCGGTAGAGCATCTGCTTCGCATGCAGAAAGTCCTCATTTCAATCTCCAGCATCTCAGTGAAAAGGATAAAGTAGTAAGTGATGTGAAAGACCTCCACCTGAGCTCCTGCTAGTCTGAGTAGATAATACTGACCTTGATGGACCAGTGGCCTGATTCAGTATAAGGCGGGCCTGTGTTCATCCATTCATAGAGTCAAACTAAATTTTCCATCATCAGAATGGAACTTTCCTGCCCCCACCCTTCCCACTGCAGCCTAGTGATCTGCTTGAAATGCTGTTCTGGGGGGATAGGGGACCCTGAGGGAATGGCATGAAGGAAATCTGCAGTGGATGGGGGGCATTTGACATTGCCCATTTAGTCTGGATTCAGCTCCAGGCTGCTTGGAACTGGAGGACTCTGCCCTGGTGACAGGGTGATGGGTCTCACAATACCTCTCCAATGTGTGGCAGAGAAATAGGCAGGATCCCAAATGGATAATATCTGTACATTTTTGGGGAGAATGTAATAGAATAGCAGCCTTTGAAGCCAGGGAGTTTGTGTTGTACAACAGCTAGAGGGTTTGCCTGTAAGCTGGGAGAGACATTTCCGATAACCCATGAACTTGTTGTGCACCCTTGGGCTCCTCGCTGCTCTTTTATCTTCATCTCTCTTTCCTTTGAAATGGAAATGACAACAGTTCACTTAACTGGTTTGTTACTGGAGCAAAGGAGGGTGAAACAATCCAGGAGCAGTAGATGCCTATGAATGACTTTCG